AAATGCATCTGTTTTCTTGTCCATCACATGTGATTTTAAAACCCCGGTACCATATTCTCATAATGGTGCCGGAGCTCGGTCGTGTAACCGTCTGTCTGGTAAACAGGAGATCTAAATCCATGTGGTTTCTGTTGATCTCTCTTCTAATTAAATCATTCACCGCCTCTATTCTGAATTCCTGACATTATTCTTTGCGGCACTTCGTGTTAGTCAGTGAATGTAGTCCAAAATATCTTACAGAGTTATTAAATCACAATGGAAGTGAAAGCTAGTGTCGGCAGTATACGTTTTGCGCTATTCTGTAAACATTCCATCTTTCACCAGATTGCAATTCAAGTTTTCCGAGAGAAAATTCCCCTCCCATTGGCTCTGATTTCAGGCTTTAGAAAAACCGAGATGGTGGGCCAATCACAGGTCATTTCAGACGACTGTCTTTCCTATTGGTTGTTCCACAAATGCAGTAGCGCACTTCCTTTCTTATGGTTAAAGCCTGATTCAACGGCAAAGTTTCATTCAGAAAAAGTATATTTCCAGCATTATCATTAACTGTCTAGAGAGCAAAGCAAAGAGAGTCTAAATATACTGGCCAAGCAATTCAGAGATAGAGAGTTAGCCTGCTGCTAATTGTAGCTGCAGGATAGCTACAGGCGCTATCTTTTGAAACGCTTTGCAGATAATATAACTTTGCAGGCCCATGTGTTTGCAAAGAAAACAGGACAGTGATAAACATAGAATTGCTGCTCTATAACAAGCAAAGGGATATCAATCCTTAGTAGGTTGATGTTTGAAGGAAATGGCTATAGTACTTGGATTAGGACGGAAAGGAGTGAGGACTATATTCAGCAGTTTTCTTTTTCAGTTCGTTTTTTTAACCTTTTTCCATAAAACTGCCTACCTTTGGGTACCACTTAAATACCCATATGCTGACAGATTGTTAGGGAATATTTGGCTAAAAATAAACTGCGTGCTTGAGTCTTAACTGAGAGACAAAATTTAACCATAGTGCCCCTTTAAGCTTTGTAGATTCTGAAAGAAGACAACACATTTTCTTACACATAAAAAGGTTGAACTCACAATACAAGCTCCTCTACACTATACACTACACACTATGACTGGTAATATCTGGAATGACCAGTAGCGTATGGCTAATGTTAGCAAACGTTTGATAAGTATAACTGCTGAGTCATTACTGAGTCATTTAGCTGACTTTGTGATTCTCTTTAAATGAAAATAATTAACACTGATCGCTGTTCATCGAGAGTTATTTTTGGGAGTTGTTCATGTTGTAGTTTGAAGTTTGAATTTTATTTAATTAAATGTCAAACCAGCATCAATATGTTGTGTTGGTATTCATAATGAATCAAGAATAATTGGCTTGAACCTGACCTGAATCGGACATGTTTGATTTACAAACTACATGAACTGAATTTAAAACAAAGTGAAAACAAAAACGTCTTTACTTTCAGGAGGATTTTTATTGTAAATGTGTTTTACATATGAACAAAAGCAAAAATATAACATTTTAAGCAACTCTTTATTTATATTGGTTTACAAAGCACAACATATCATCACATGTTTCATAATACATTTTTGCTGTATTGCAATTTGCACCAGACAAAGTGGGTGTGCAAGTTTAGAAAATGTTAGCGAAATGCTTGGGGAAGAATACATGTTAAACATTTATCCAGAGATGTATTATGAAACATTTGATAAGCCTTTTTCTCTGTGTTTTGTAAAAAACGTACAAAAGTCGCTTCATTTTCACTCTATATTTGAATTATAACGTTATGTACTCCTTCTTTACATATATTTAAAAAATATATCACAAACACAGAAATCACCAGAAGAATATTTCAGTTCTGCTTTTAGATGCATATACAGTATTTACATACATTCACCGGCTCAAATATGACACCCATTCAGAGAAGTGTCACTTCTGATTGTATGGAAGGAATGCTTGATATCGATAGTTCTTCCATACAGCGCCTCTTCAGCTGCTACGTACCCAACGCTTAAAGGGTCTGTCAATCATTGTGGGTCAGGGTTTGGGTTAGCAAATCAAACATTTACAAAAACAACCCCATTCCAGTTCAAGCTTTCCTTTAATCAAATCATTACAATACTGAATGATGACAACTGATCCTTGACTTGATGTCACGTGAAACGATGTCTGTGCAGCAGGCATTTTGCGCCCCCCCCCCTTTTCCGACACATTTGATTTAATCGAACTGAGATGCAGGACGAAGCACACTAAATAAATCTATACAAGTAAATGTAATATGACAAAAAAGCTTAACAGTCACCGTTGTCCTACAGTACAAGACAAAGTCATTTCATTTCATGGCAAGATGTCATTTCATGCAAGGTATGTTACATGTTCAAGACCAAGAACACATAGAAACATTTTGAATCCTCTTAAATTCTCCATTTAACTTTGACAAATATACCTTAATAAGACCAAAAAATAAATAAATGAATCATAACAAATCCCTCTTAGATGTTTGTTCATAATGTAATGACACAAAATTCCAGTTTATATATATAAACAAAAACAATTGGTTACATTTGAAATGTCATCTTTCAATTATTAATTTCAAATTGTTGGGTGAAGTGAAAATAAAATGTTGCATGGCAAGAGAAGATTCTTAAAGGCGAAGCAACATTTTTACTTCATGCCTCTTTAAGAAAGGAACGAAATGTTGAATTACAATATGCAATATACAGCAGTTAGCACTGCTTTTCTAAATTTAGTAAAGCGTTTTGTTGCAACAAAATTACCTAGGTTGGTATGACCAGTAGCTTATGGTGTCAAATATTTTCTAACTAAGTATTTTGTGCTACTGTTATCCTATGCTAGGTTATGCTATTTGCAGTTATCCTGAAATTGCTATTTGGGTAACAAGGGGTGCTGTTGAGCAAAACGTTCATATTCTGGCTTTGATACTTTTTAGTTGATCTGGTGTAAAACTATTATTTGATGTTGTGGCGCATCATTTGAGTCTCAACAAGTGCAAAAAATATCCATTTGAATTAAATATGTACATAATTTCATAGGAAAAATATGTGTCATAATAAGCCCTTATAGACTAACTATAACACTAGCCTTTCCCTGTGTGTCACTAACGTCTTGTATTATTTTACAATTCTTTTGTACATGAAGTAAATAAAGTGACATCAAATGATAAATGATATGGCATCACGCATGATGAGTTGAAGACAAAACATTAAATTGAAATATTTCACAGATAACCATTGGATTTAGTTGTGCCCCACTTGTTTGGGGTACAACTAAAACACTCTCGACCAGATTAGACAACAATGTTTTACGGAACAGTGAGTCAAGTCAAATCACAATTTCTGGTTGTCTTCCCACAGTAAGTTTTCTGTGTGCCAGTGCAAATTATATGGTGGCATGATGTTTCTTGGTGAGCAGTAAATCAACATGAACATGAGCATTGTTCTTGTGTTTGAGGTTACTTCCTGTAAAAACACTCAAAGGCAACAGAGAGACACTTATTCAAAGCAACAGGAATGTTAATACATCATTTACTCTGCTGACAAAGAAATAAACCAAGGCCCCAAAGGTTCCCAATGTCCAAAAAGCTCTTTTGGTTGGGCAACCAAAAATCAATTCAAGCCATTAAGCGATGAGTTTTTGCTTTTTCTTTAAAACAACATTTGGCTCCAGGAAGGTACAAAATGGGGTTTTAAGTAGTAGCAGACCCCTTAGTTTTGCATTTTTTCATTTATATAAGGCTTATGACTCCAGCACTAACAATAACACACACACCCCAAAGTGTAAAAATAAAGTAGCAAATCTTTCATCAAATCAGATCAGCTTAAAGATTTTACAAAAGTTATAATATACAAAAAGCTTATTTCACCTGTGAGGGTGTTGTGTCAAGTAACAGTTTTCTGCTTTGGTTTAGTTTTTACAGTCTTTTCCTCACCACCCAATAAATTATAACAGTACCATGAATGTACGTCATGCGTACACATAAACACACACAAGCTCGAGAGTCCTGCACGGACTCTTTTAAAAAGGTGTTTGGCCTTTCACTCCCCTCCCCTCCTGTCTTTCGTCGCACACCAATACACACACATCCACGAGCACAGCAGCCCCCCTTCCCCCCTCTCTGTTGCGTCAGTCTGTCAGAGTGGGGTCAGAAGATTCAGTTGGCAGAGCGTCCTGTCCTGCTGCTTCGTGGAAAGCGGTGGACTTTGAGGTGTTTCGACAGGTGATCGCTACGGGCAAACTTCTTTTCGCAGACGATGCACTGGTATGGCTTCACTCCCGAGTGGGAGCGGCGGTGTCGGGACAGCTCGTCGGACCGAGAGAACCTAGAAAGGAAACCCAAGATGTCATTTTGTGGAACATTAAGCATCTCTTTTAATAAGCTTCCCCTTTCAATTTTAGTGTTTTATTCCATGACCGTAGTCATCAGTCAATGCTGCCAGAACAAAGCAAATTCAACAGTATTTTGGTTATTTAAAAAGACTACCACTTATGTACATACAACCTTGTTTGTGTACAGCACTTCCTGTGTAAAAAATAAACTATGCCGTCAAGCTTCAAACTGCCGAATAACATAAAAGCTGTGTCAAGCTGTTTTATATGAGGGTAATCTCAGAGCTGTGAAGATACACTGTACATGTGTATTGCGCTGCATCTTCTGTGTGAAGTTAAAGAGCCATCCCATATTTAGCTCAACACATGAGTACTGCAAACCCAAGCCCAGTCTATTCCTAGCCTGCTCTGCTCCAGTCTCCATGGGCTCCGGCCAGCTTGCATATCATGCCAGTGAAGGGTTAAGTGGATGATAAAGTAGTGCCTGATGTATCTGTATATATTAGTGAAGCTGTTAAAATCAGATTAATCTGTAACACAGATTTCTTTCCTGTCACATTTCCAGTAGCAGCAGTGGTAGGATGAAGGAATGAAGGTGATAATTCACAGATATAAAGACGCCACTCACAGCTATTTCAAACCATTTCCACTCTCACCATGGATTACATAACCAGCCTATACATCATTTGAATGGTCTAGTAAAAAGATAACTGACAGCTCTTGTTTAGCTACAATGTTGAAGCTATAGCTAAGGAACATGAGCCACACAGACTTGAGAACCTGTTTGGTTTACGGTTAGGCATTCAGATATTTTGAACCTGCAAGAATGTTGACATGTAAAGATGGTGGCTCTGAATCTATTTCCCTTTGGCACGTTCAGGTGCTATTCTAATCACAAGGGTTGATAACACCCCAAGAAGTATAGATAATCAGTCACCATTGACGATTAAACATTGACACGCCAATGTCAACATGCTAACTTGCTGTGCAAATATGTACCAAATGGCGTAGCAATCCATAAAATGGTTTGAGATAGCTCACCAAATGCCAAATGGGCCCCTCATGAAAAGTTCAGAAATTACTTATGTCTGTAGGGCTTATCCTCTTGGAGCAACGCATGTCGCAACAACATGTTTAGCAGTCCAACCTGCAGTCGCTAAGATATTTTGTCTGAAATTGCCATCCCTCGAGTAACTTCCCAAACATGGCCAAAAACATAATTTACGTTAAATGCATGGAGTGTATTAATACATGACTTCTATTGAGATCAATGTAGTACTGTTCTAAGGAACAGAACATTTAAATGTCCTGCATCCATTTATTATCACTTAGTAAAGGAATAAACTGTTTGAGTTAAACAACAGCATACCAGCAGAACCCCTTTGAATATGAGCACATTTTCTTCCTGACAGCATTCATGAAGTCTTTTCTAGTCTAGCTCTACCCAGTTTGTATCTATCTGTGTCTGCTTGGTGCTGGGCATGTAGCACAGAGATGGTTCATCAGAAGCTTGCTGTTGCAGAAAGATTGACAAGAAAGTCATGAGTATACCACAACAATCCAGTTGCGCAAAATAAAATCAATGAGCTGAGGGGAACTGCAGTCTGACTACAATTATCCCTGGGTTCGTCACAGCAGTTGATCTATTTCATCATGTATAGAAGCTTTAAAGTGAGAAAAGCCTCCTGGCAAAACAGCTGTGTGTTGACTTGTCTGTCATATGAGTTTGTTGAATGGATTAGCTGGGTTTCTTAATCTGCACCAAGAGGCATGTAGTTATTAAGATAGAAATCTGAAACCACATCTGTCTCTCTATGGTCTGCACTTTATGTGCCTGTACATTTGTTCGTTAAGGTAATGTGATTTACCATGTGCCAGTGTTTTATCATAGCCTCACCACCTGTCTCTCAAAGTCATGCTTCTCTTTCTATAACTCGTTTTTTTTCCCTTCTTAACCATGCTTATCTAACTTTCTAAGGTTTCCGAAACAGTTCCTCGAGGTTCATATCTATAAGGGTGGAGGGCAATTCTGTCTGTTTTTACTTGGACGAGTCCTTGGGGCGATTTGGTGTGTCATTACAAAACATAGTATTCATATTAGCGTGGGCTCTGTGGGAAACACATATGCAGGCTGTGTTCTGGCTTGTTCTGCTCTGCAGCCAACAGAGCGTAGTGAAATCAGCCGTGAAAAGGTTTGGGCTGTCAGGTTGGTTACACACCTGGAACATTACAGTAACAGAGATATTGGCAGGCAGACACACAGAGTTCTATCTGTCATCTTTATTTTCCTTGCCTCGTTTTAGCTAATCTCGTCAGATAAAAGCCCTTTGTGTCTCCTGTCACTGTTTATGAGCGGCTACATTTCCACCGTGCGGGTTGAAAGGGAAAGCATATTAATGCATGACAGCACTAATCAATAACCGAAGTAAGCCTTCTACATAAACAAGCAACCATAAAACTTATTTTGACTGGTTTTTCCAAATTCTCTAAACCAGAGGAGCCGGAGTCAATTCCTCAACTTGTAATTTAGCAGGACACCGGATCCTTCCGAGCTCCACACGGGCCGTTTTCTCTCAGACACAAATCTTGCGGTTTCCGAAGAGCTTCAATAACATAGCATAAACTCACTGATAGTGAAGCTCCCTCTACACGTTGCAATTGAGCTCAACGTGTCCAAATATTAAGCTAAATCAGGCCGCTCCGTCACCACCTAACAACATTGTATTGTTGTAGCTATGAATGCACCAGCTGACAAGGACAACGATGACAGCTGTGAGTAGACACACGTCACAGTGTTATTACTGCAAACTGTTTGGGTTGGAGCCCAGTTGGAGCCCAGTTATCTGCATGTGCTCCTTTAAGCGTTTACATGTGACTCTGTCCGTGCGTCCAGATCTGTACATGAACTTAGACTAAAACCAGAGTAGAAAAATGAATCCAAAAAAGCTTTAAAAGACAACAGTTTGGCAAGGGAAGCAATATGAAGTTCACTGAGTTATGTGAAGGAGTTCAGCCAATGAAATACCACTCCTCTCGACTTCAGAGGGGGGAAACACATGGATCTATTCTAAGGTTACGGAGGCCAAGAGGTGCCTGACTCCCCAGCTCACCTCCATTTCCTGGCCCAAAGGGAGAGAAGTGAGGAGAGGGCCGCAGTATAATACAGTATACTGCTGCTATCATGTAGTCAATTGTAGTTTGGGGAGGTTGGGGGTATTATATACTTGGTATGTTAAAGAAATGCATGGTCTGCTATGCCTGAAATACATAAAAATATATGGATCCATGTGTCTGCTAAAACAACAAAGGGATTCTGGGACATATTTGGCTTTCGACATGAGAGTAGTTACAATCTTTACATCCAACCCTCTGCAATGTTTGCAGGTTTGAACCTTGAGCCAATTATAGTAGCTTAGCATAAATCATGCTGAGGGAAACACTTAAGCTGGCTAAACCGGTTTCCAAAAATGTCTTACTATTCCGCTGAACGTGTCATTAAACATGCTTCCATGGGAACAACGGCATGCTACACATGCTTTTAACTCATCTTTCCAAGATTCATGAGAAAAAACTAAAGTCAACTAAACAATGCATAAGACATATGTTGTTTTTTGGACCAGAACAATTTGACAATACGTAATATGCTTACAAATACTTGGATGTTAGCCCAGAAATATTGCAGAGTGGGCATTTTCTTTTCACATCTGTCGGATTTTAAGTGTCTGCAGGTGCAGTACAGACTGATAAAGCGTGGAGCAGAACAGCCTGCTGACCAAACTTATCTGATTCTCTCTTTGTCATATTCTCAGGCATACTTGCTTTTCTTTCTTTAGCGAAAGCCAAAACAAATTCTAGCTTCACCTTCACACTCAATTCTTACCATGGTTTAACCTTAACCATGATGCTTGCCCTAACTTAACCCTGCGTCCGTCCATGTGTGAAAAAAACATGCACACAAACAGACCCGCGCCATGTGCACCCTTGGGCAATAACTCTACTGCATGTATAGAGGTGGAATTTGCACTTTGGATAGAAGAGGTGAAATCAGGATTTTAGATCAAAAGCAATGATAACAGGACAGAACATCACGCCATTAGCAGCCAATGAAAACCCTATCGTGGATCATAAATTAATTCTGGGTCTGCACACTTTGAAGTTGAGTCTTCAATGATCATGTATAGTAAACCTCTACTGCATTAATGTACAGGTGTGGGAAGTGGTTTGCAGACAGAAGGCAAATAAGTGGATTAACGAGAAAAGGGGCAAAGTCTACATGCAGCACAACTTCAAAAGCAGTTCTATCTAATCAACAACTTGAACCTTGGTACAAAAAAAACTGATAGCAGGGACACACAGCCAGCATCTAGAATGGAACAAATGGTCACCATCTTGAATAGACTAGGATATATTTCCCCTAAAGATGTCCCCTTTGCCGTCATAACCATACATCACATCAATCTAAACTAAGCCAGGTGAACAATCTTGAATATTTAACATGTATTTATGGCCCCGTAATACATCCTCTTTCCTGTAAAACAATACCTCCTGCACAAATTGGTGACATGAAAGACATTCTCTGTAATAATGTAAAGGACTTCAGGTGGATGGAAACCTTCTAACATGTTTTAGCCCTATAAGAGTTGAACACACAAACAATAAAACGGTTCCATTCAATTGGTGCATTAACCCTAACCCTGTCCTTCCTTAAAGAGTATCAATGAGTCTTCTTATCTGTGATAGCCCCACAATAAAGAACACCTTTTTAGCTGCTCCTTGCACAACAAACTGATTTCATTCACTTCTTCGAAGTCTACACACATTGGATAAGTCAATTATCAACAGCTGTTTATGACTCCGCACTGGAAGTTGATAACTGTGGTACCTGTAATCTGTGTAGCCTAGATAAACATATAGAACACTTCACACTGCAAGTGCAACCCAGATACATTTATCAACCCTTTTAATGTATTGCATATTTTATCAAACCCTTTCATCTGTTTGTCTCGTTCAGTCATTCAACCTTCTTATCATTTCTAGATTGCAATGGGTACACCTGAAGGTAGAAAGAGTGTTTGCATATAGCTCCAATTTATCTTTATCTCTCCAGTCAATGGCTGCTCTGATCATTTCATTGATCGATTTAATCATTGGATTTGTTTAACTAAAAGGAATGCAGACCTCTGCAAAAGCCAAATGCCCCATCTCGCAGTTTTCACGAAATTCCCCAAAAGTTGATTTCCTTAGCCTCTGCTACATTCTTCATTCATTTTTTCCAGGTTTCATGATATCCTGACCAGTAGTTTATACCCATAATCATGCTGACAAACAGAAGAACAAACCAAACTAAAGACAACTTTCTTGACAGAGATAAAAAGGCACTTGGTTCTGCTCACCTCCATCCACAGCCGGGCCACGTGCAGGCGAATGGTTTCTCCCCAGTGTGCCTCCTCAGATGGGCTTTTAGATGGCTGCTCTTTGTGTACATCTTATTGCAGCCAGGAAAAGAGCACTTGTGCATTTTAATGAGGTCTGCTACTGCACTCTTCTGATACCTCTGACCTCCAACGAGGACCCCTGCATTCGCGCCACCGCCAAACCCACCTTCCCCGAGCCCAATGGGTTTCGCGGCAATAGGCACCGGTGCAATCCGGACAAATTTGGGTGAAATGGTGGCTCCGTTTTTGCTCGAGCCGGCAATGTTTGTCGAGGAAAGCAGTTGAGGCACCAAGGCAAAGGTCTGTCCTTGGATGTTGACCAGGAGTTGGGCGATTTGTATATCTGACGGGGCCTGGTTCGCCTGGGACTGGGTTTGCTGTGTGGCATCTTCTGAGACTGCGCTAGGGTTTGGCTCTTGTTTGATCTGTATGGGCTGGATTTGTAGGATGACAGGCACACTGGGGGCACTTGTACCTTCTGATGAGGCTTGCGGGGAACCACAATCCTCCTGTTTTATCCCATCAACACAACTGGGAGAACCAGCTATACAACTAGCATCCACTGTTGATGGTGAGCTGTCCATGTCAGATGCACATGGTGTATGTTTGGTCTCTGCATAGGAGGAGAGTGGAGAATGAGCCACAGGCACAGTCTGATCGGAGTTCTGTGGTAATGATGCAAGTTCTCCTGCTAATGTCCTGGTACCTTTCGCCTCAGCATATTCCGACAATGGCGACATCGCCTCATCGCTCCCCTCCTCTTCCTTCTCCATTGCCACCACCATATTCTCCTCCAGGAACTCCTCAATCTCCTCCAGGGTGGGCTGAAAGAGAAGCGCTGTAGGATCCTGCAGTTCGTCCAGGAAGACAGGAAACTCGTAACCATCTTCTTTGGCCTGCTGATGGATGAGAGTCAACCGCTCCCTCTTGGACTCCCAGGCCAGGCCCATTGGTAAAAGAGGGGCAGATGAGGATGAAGAAGGTGCAGAGGATAGGGATAGAGACGAGTGAGAGCTGCTGTTGGCATTAGAGCTTAATGAGGTGGTAAGGGAGGCCTGTGAGAGGAGCAGGTCCAGCAAACTTTCTTGACTCTCTCCTCCGGAAGAGCTACAGCTCCCACTGCTCCCGCTGCTCCTGCTGCTCCTGCTTTCGTAGCTGGAGGCGAGGACGTGCCGCAACGTCGGTGACGAGGACTCCGGGCTGGAGCAGAGCGAGGACCGAGGGCTGGAGGAGTCGCTGAGGTCATCCTCAGAGAGGCGAGGGGAGGAGGAAGGCGCCACCCCTTGGTAGGGGTGGTGGTGATCGTACGTTACCATGCTCCCGGGCAACGTGCCACCATTGGCGTGGTAGTTGTAGTCAGACCCCGGGGAGCCGGTATAATACAGGAAGGTCTCTTCACCAAGCGGCAAGTGATCCACCATTCCTGTGCGGGTGGATGGCAGCTGGCCTCTGCGCTGCTCGGAAGATCAATCTGTTCTGCTGCTGATCGGCTGAATGTTGATGAGAAACCTCTTTGTTCTATCTGCAAAAAGACAAATGAGTGTGTTTATCAGTTGTTATGGCAATGGAAGAAAATTGGCTTTGAATTGGACTGCATACCGGCATACATTATTTTGCATGAAAGCAGATACTTTTATATATGTTTCTTAACAGTTAGCAGGTTTGTGCTAAGTAGAGATCATTCCCAAGAAAAGCAGCATGACAACACAGCAACACTCAGTCAGGTTTAGTCTGACCAGGGGTTAATGTTTCACAAGACAATTTCTCAAGTTCATACTGGATTAAAATAAGTAAACCAGTAACAAGTATTATTATGATTCGGCCTCTGTCCACTACCTGCTGCTTTTTTGAGAAGTCTGCAGCTGATGGCACGTCAAAAGGAAAGTCAACCACGTGAGAAAGGAAGTGGAATTTGAAGGTGTGTGTGTGTGTGTGTGTGTGTGTGTGTGTGTGTGTGTGTGTACCCTGCAGCTGCTGGTTCAGACTTAAAGCTGACCATGTGGAATCAGGGTTCCCATTTCTCACCACTTCGAACATTGAAGCCACATGGTTCTGCTGTCATTTGATGATGTGTTTTATTTCCTTCTAGTGGGTCCTATTTCAGCTTTTGTTTATATAAAAAAACAATTGCTATTCTGCATAACTTTTAGAGTCAAACCAAGATATACTATTAGAAATACTTTTTTTTTAAATCAACTAAAAACCTTGTGCAATGTACGGGTAAAGTCAGTGGTTAAAAGAGAGTTATTTTATAACAGATATTCAGTGTAAGTGTCTATTTATACCCAGCCAACAAACAATGCACAATATTACATTTACACGGATTAAAAATGCTAGGCATTTTCAAACCGGCCTTGGATGCAATGAGTAGCTTATGATAATTAAACATGACCGTTAACTCCAATTTTAAAACCTCAAAAGGCTTAATGTGTGTTAACATGAACATAATAAAAAGGGGCTGAAACAATCATTGTGCGCCCTTTGCTGCGTAAAAAGTAACTCCCCCCCAGAGGTCCTCACATAGATTTGAGGCTGTCCAGGGAAAATGACTAGATACTAATGTTCTCATGAGGTGGCACAGCTGCTGTTTACCACCTGATCCTGAACCAAAATTCAACTAAGACATGGTTGCTTATTTGATACAATCATATGACATCGAAATGAAGGTGAGGGGGGTGTGATGGGCTCTACTGCTGCTTAAGTTTGGAAAGGCAATTTGGAAAATGCCTAGCTTTGCCAAGTCTTTAAGTCACATGCCCTACAGTAACCCTGCCGCCGTGAAACATCAAAGACACTTTGACAGCATGACGCACGCCTGGTGTTCACCATGCGCCATGGATAATCAGTTATGGAGGTGAACTCGCGATTTATGACACGTTTAACACCGTGACGGCTTGTCAGATCACAGAAATCAAGTGCCAATATTAGTTTTACATGATATAAACAGCAGCAGGATAATGCATAAAGCTAACAACGTGTCCCTACGAGTGTGCATGGGTACTGTAAAAACAAAATGCCATGCTGCAATCCACAATACGAGACAGAAAGCATACAAATAAAGTATGAAATCACACAAGCGTTTCTGCTTGTACTCACTTGCACAATTGAGGAATCCAACAATCCGCTCCTTTGCGACTCTTCTCTTGAAAGTAGCTGTCAGTGCGTAATAGTGCGTAATGGCAATGTAACTCCACGAGACGGTCTTTGCATTGCTCTACGCCTCCACATTTTCTCACTCTATCTCACACGCTCACACACACACGCAAACACACACTATCACTCTCTCTCCAGAGGGCTGGTAGTTCGCTTAAGCGTCACATGATCGGAGATGCTGGGTTTATTACAGCAGGCAAATTAGGGGGTCGGATCATGAAGGCTCGCCTGCACGGCGCGCCGCAATTGGCTCTGGGTAGATGGAGGCCGGCCTCAGGGCATGGCGTCAGGGAGAGAAGGGGTGTGTGGAAGGAGAAGGGGTGTGTGTGTGTGTGTGTGTGTGTGTGTGTGTGTGTGTGTGTGTGTGTGTGTGTGTGTGTGTGTGTGTGTGAAGAGGACTTGGATATGTCAGGCAAGGTTGTTTTTTTCCTCAGTGTTGACATTTCTCCACTTATATAAAATTCACATTAAAGCCACAAATGACAGTGTTAAATGTGACATGTTGTATACTGTAATTCAATTGGTATATTGTTTTTTAATATTCTTTTATTTATGAAATATTGGAAATATAGTTCAAATAACAAACACAAACCTATGATTAAATGGCACTATAACATCACAAAAAGCAAATCCAAATAGGATTGAAAAATTAAGTTTGACAGCATTGATCAATCTAAACAATGAAATATAGCCACACACACAAAATATATATATCAATAAAAATACAGGCAGGTAGAGCAAAACCATCCAATTCCATGTTGTTTATTGCTACTTCGTGATGGATTTAGCAATTATATAAACTTGTAAAAATGTATTTTTCAGGGATACTTGAAAACAGTGGCTCAGTCAGTAGGGGCTTGGACTGTGAGCCGTAGGGTCGCTGGTTCAAGTCCCCGACCAGACCTAAATATGGAGTGTGGACTGCTACTTGGAGAGGTCCCAGTTCACCTCTTGGGCCCTGCCGTGGTGCCCTTGAGCAAGGCACCGGACATCTCCTTTCCCCCTCATTCCCATTGCGTCCCGGGCGCTGTACAATAGCTGCCCACTGCTCCTAGTACTATGGTGGGTTAAATGCAGAGGCCAAATTTCACTGGGTGTGCTCTGTGCTCTGCATGTGAGACCATTAAAGAGGGTTGCATCCCTCCGATTCTATCTATTCAGATCAGTTCTTGATGATTGAGCTTTGAATATAACAACTTACCAAATAAGCAGTATTGTAGAACACAATTTATAGATAGATTCTAGAGTAGGACTCTATTGTTATTTTGTAGATTATTTTACCAACAATTGCTTAAACTGTACTAAAATATAAAATTCATATTAGCGATTGAAACATTTTAGGAAAAGTTGAATGTTCTTTTATTCTATAAACAATTTTCTTACGTTTGTGAACGTACAGGGCACGTACAGGGAGCGTAGTGATTTTCTGATGTCACATCATCTAATCATATCTTGTCATAGCATATCATGAAACAATGGAGGGAGTTTCTCTCCCACACATCCCCCCCTGCTTGAAACGCCTCCATTGGACTCCTTCGTTTACTACCTAACATTATGACACTATGTAACAGTGGTGCTTATTTTGGCACATTGTATGTCACTAAGGGGCGAGACTTCTCTAAGTGATTGAACAATCACAACAGAGCCGGCCAGCTAACCAATCAGAGCAGACTGGGCTCTGGTTTCAGACAGAGGGTGAAAAGAGAAGCTGCAGCACAGGCAGTATGAAAAAAATAAAGAGCTTTCTGAACATTAAAGCATGGAAACGTTTCCCAGTCGAGGCACACAATACAAATACGAACCTGAAAAGTTGCATTACGAATCAGTTGTCCACCTACTGCTCTTCATAGAAGTGTTTAAAAGTGTGCATGTGCTGCTGCGTAATACATAATTTTAAAGATATATTGTTACATTGTAATCCTCCTTGTGATCCCCATTTGCACAAACATTTTTAAATAATCCGATTACGTCTTTTATGTAATCCATTACTCCCCAAGACTGCAGGTGACACAGTAAACCGGGTTTGAAGCTCTCCTTTTTCAGCGCTTCAGAAACAACTTGTGGCACTTTTCCATCTTCAACACTACCAATGCCTTCCAAGACAGACGTGGTCTGACGAAACATTATATAATTTATTCTTTAAAAGCACAAGTGGACCCTGAATCAGCAATTGTTGTAGATGTGGCCTCTGTAGCTTTGAAAATCTTCAGTAGTGGAATGTAGCCAAGAACATAATATACTCCAGTAGGCCTAGTGTACCATACCTAAATACAAATTCAAGCAAGTTTTTGAGAGGGTATATGGTAGGGTTTGTGCAGCGTCTTCGAGGGCAAAACATATGGAAGATGATGACATAACAGTAGCAGAAACTATAGCATCAACAGTAGCAGCAGTAGTAGAACCAGTAGCAATAACTAAGCAGTTAAAAGATCATACTCAAATGAAAAGCATACCACTCAGTGTGACGCCGTGTATCATTTTTCACCGCATAATAGCCACTACAGTTCAAGTGTGTATTTTATGTACACACTGAAACACTCTTACAGTTTACAGGGAGGCAGAGAATGGATCATTTATCCAAACACAGTGAAAGGTAATCTAACCTACGCAAGCAAATCTAATTAGGTCGGAGCCAGTAAAGTGACTTCAGCCCAGCGGAGGTGTTTATATGAGGCCTGCCCAGCTGGAGTGAAAGCAAAACCTCTATTACTGATGTTATTAGGCAGCATGTAAACACACTCACTTTCCTACTCAATGGCTCCCTCTTTCTCTCAGTCACTCAGACACGTTCGTCCGTGGTCATCTGAAACAAGTGTGCCTTGACTGCAGAAGGGAACCCTGTCAACTAACAACCTGATATGTGTGCCCTTATGTATAATGCTGCGTTCAGACCGGACGCGATGCAATGTTTGGGGGCAGCGCGATTACATGTAAAGTCAATGCAGAGACGCGGACAGGCGCGAATTCGCTCCGACGGCGAGCATGAAGCGGTGGACGTGGCGCGAAATCACGCGATTGAGGCGATTGAACTGTGCCGTGTCAAACGCGAGAGTTCAATTTTTTCAACTTGAGCGTCAAATTCACGTGACGCGTTCTCGCGGAAGCCAATCAGCAGTGAGGATCTCAGCCTGCCGTTACTAACGTTCAACCAGAAAACATCAGCTGTTAGCAGTTAGCACACAGAGATCACAGCTCCTCATATCTGTTCAGAAACTGTACAGAAGTTAAACAAGTACAAACCACAGACTGTCTGTGTCATGGCGAATACAGTCGCTGGTTTATTTATGTCTGTAGGCCGTTGTTATGAGTGTGGAATGAGCATTTACAACATTAGCTTAGCCTGGTCGACCCAATCTCCATTCAGAAAACAAGCATTTCAAAAGGTTTTTCGCCTGCCTTCTTGTCTGCAGACTTGTCAAGCATTAATTCATGGTTTTTACTAAACGGTATCAGTATGTTGTTACTTCGGCATCATTTAGAAACGTGTATTACAATTTAATCACGGTAAAATATGCTCATTTTGTTGTAGTTAGCTCCCGAGCCAGCGCGTTTTGTTTGAATGATGCGAGTAAACACAGCTGGCA